CTGTAAAGGTTAAAAGACAAAAGTATTAAAAATAGCTATAATAGCAATAATATTTTAATGAATACAAAATACAAAAATGTATAAATTGTGATATCAAAAACATAAATTGTGAGAGGAGAGTGTAAAAATGTAGAGTTTCTGTATACATTAGGGTTTTATCAGCCTAAAATGCATTATTATAACTACAGGATTTTTGCAGGCCTCATTGTAACCACAGAGCAAAAACCTATAGAAGCATGCAAAAGACAGAGAAATAAAAATGCACCACTATGGGGAAAAAAAAAATGTACCACTATGGGAAATCATCAATGCACAAAAAAAGACAGCAGGAGAGGAAAACAGGAACCATAAAACTGCCAGAAAACAACAAGATAGCAGCAGTAAGCCTGTATATATTTCTACTTCAAATTTAATGGACTAAGTTCTCTAATAAAAAAACATAGAGTAGTTAAATGAATACGAAAATAAGACCTAACTATATGCTGCCTACAAGAGACTAATTTCAGGTTTAAATATACACAGACTGAAAATGAAGGGATGGAGAAGATATTCCATGCCAGTGGAAACCAGAAGAAAGCAGGGATATATATACTTATATCAGAAAAAAATAGATTATAAGCTAAAACTGTAATAAGAGACAAAGAAGGTCATTATATGATGACAAGAGTACATAACAACTGTAAACATGCACCCAACATAGAAGTAGCTAAATTAATAAAGCAGGTATTAACAGATTTGAAGAAAGAAACATACATAAATACAATGATATTAGGAGACTTTAATAACCCACTTTCAATAATGGATAGGTCAGCCAGAAAGAAAATCAATAAGGAAACATTGGACTTAAATTATGCTTTAGACTGTATGGACTAAAAGTCATATAAAGAACACCCTATCCAACAGAAGCTGAAAATACACTCTTCTCAAGCACATATGGAACATCCTCCAGGACAAATCAGATAATAGGCCATAAAAGAAGTCTTAGCAAATTTTAAAAGACTGAAATCATTCCAAATAACTTTTCTAACCACAATGCATAAAACTAGAAATTAATGACAAAAGGAAACTGGAAAACTCACAAATAGGTAGTAATTTAACAACATGCTCCTAAACAATCAATGGGTCAAAGAAATGAAAAAAGAAATTTTAAAAATCTGGAGACTAATGAACATGGAATCACAACATACCAAAACTTATAAGATGGAGCAAAAGCAGTTGTAAGAAGGATGTTTATAGTGATAAATGCTTATATAAAGAAAAAAAAAAAGATTTTGACAGACAGCCTAACTTCATACCACAAGGAACTAGAGAAAGAAAAATAAACTAAGCCTAGGTTAATAGAAGAAAAAAATAAAGATCGAAGTGGAAATAAATGAATGAAAATATAATGGAAAAAAATCAATGAAACTACAGTTTGCTTTAGAAAAAGATAAAATTGATAAACCTTTAGACTAAGAAAAAAAAGAGAAAAACCTCAATTAATAAAATCAGATTTGGAAAAAGGGAGTTGACAACTTATAACATAGAAATCCAAAGTATCATAAGAAACTAAGAAACAATTACACATCAATAAATTGGATAATGTAGAAGAAATGTGTAAATTCCTAGAAGCATAAAACCCATCAAGATGGAATTTTGAAAAAAATAGAAAATAGAGCAGACCAAAAACTAGTAAAGAAATTGAATCAGTAATCAAAACCTCCAAAAAAAAAAAAAAAAAGTCCAGAATCAGATGGCTTCACTGGTGAATTCTACCAAATATTAAAGTGCTAATACTCATCCTTCTCAAACTCATCCAGAAAAATAAATAGGAGGGAACATGTCTGAACTCATTTTAGGAGGCCAGTATTTCCCTGATACCAAAGCCAATGAAGGACACTGTAAGGAAAGAAACTTCTTTTTGTAGGCCAATATCCCCATTGAACATAGATGCAAAAATTCTCAGCAAAATATTAGCAAACTGAATTCAACATTACATTAAAAGGATCATACACCATGATTAAGTGCTATTTACTCCAGGAATGCAAGAATGGTTCAGCACATACAAATCAACCAATGTGATACAATACATTAGTAAAATGAAGGAAAAAATCATATGATCATCTCAATAAATGCAGACAACGCTTTGACAAAATTCAACATCCTTTGTGATTAAAAACTCTCAGTATAGAAGGAACATACCTCAACATAATAAATAATATAATACCATACTCTAAGTTCAAAAACAAGACAACGATGCCCACTTTTGCTACTTTTATTCAATATAGTATTGTAAGCATGATCTAGAGTAATTAAGCAAGGAAAAGAAATAAAAGGCATCCAAACTGGAAAGGAAGAAGAAAAACTGTCTCTAGTTATAGATGATATGATATATATAGAAAACCCTAAAGACTCCACCACAAAACCATTAGAATTAATAAAAAAATTTAGTAAAGTGGAAAAATGTAAAATCAACATAAAATACTAGTTTTATATACCAACAATAAACTATCTGAAGGAGAAATAAAACCACCCCATTTAAAATGGTATCATAAACAATAAAATACTTAGAGATAAATCTATCCAAGGAAGTAAAAAGTCTATACACCAAAAACTGTAAGATATAGATGAAAAAAACTGAAGAAGACACATATAAGTGGAAATATATCCCATGTTATGGATGAGAAGAGTTAACATTATTAAAATATTCATGGCGTGCCTGGGTAGCTCAGTTGGTTAAGCATCTGCCTTTGGCCCAGGTCATGATTCCTGGATCCTGAGATGGAGCCACATGCTGGGCTTCCTGCTCAGAAAGAAGTCTGCTTCTTCTTCTCCCTCTACCCCTCCCCTCACTCATGCTGTCTCTCAAATAAATAAATAAAATCTTTTAAAAAATATTAATATTACCCACGGCAATCTATAGATTCAATGCAATTTATCAAAAGGCAATTTTTACAGAAATAGAAAAAAAATTCTAAAACTCATATGAAACCACAAAGACCCCAAACAGATGAAGGAATCTGGAGAAAGAATAATAATGCTAGAGTCATTACATGTCTTGATTTCAAATATACTACAAATAATCAATGTAAAATGTATGGTACTGGCATTAGAAAGACACACAGATTAGTGGAACAGAAGAAAAGACCCACATAAACTCATGCACGTATGGTAAATTAATCTTCAACAAAGGATCTGGGAAAATACAAGGGAGGAGGGAATAGTCTCTTCAATAAGTGGTGTTGGTAAAACTGAACAGCCATACACAAAAGAATAAAAATGGACCCCTATCTTACATCATACACAAAAGTCAATTTAAAATTGATTAAAAACTTAAATGTAAATTTGAAACCATAAAACTCTTAGAAGAAAACTTAAGGTGTAATCTCCTTGACATAAACCTTGGCAATGTTTTTTTTTTTTTTTTTGGATCTGACGCCAGAAGTAAAGGCAACAAAAGCAAGCAAGCAAACAAAGTGGGACTAATCAAGCTTAAAAGCTCTGCACAGCAAAGGTGGTGAATAAAATGGTAACCTATGGAATTGAAGAAAATATTTGCAAACTATATATCTAATAAGAAGTTAATATCTAAAACACACAAAGAACTAATACAACTCAATAGCAAAAAAAAGGCACCCCCCCAAAAAATTAAAAATGAACAAAAGGCCCAATTAGATGTTTTTCCAAAGAAAAAATGTAAATGGCCAACATGGAAAGGTGATCATCAATGTCAGTAATCATCAGGGAACTACAAAACAAAAACCTCAGTATTATCAAAAAGAAAAGAGATAAATGCTGATGAAATGTGGAGAGCAGGGAAAATTAGTGCAATGATGTTGGAAAGGTAAGATGTACAGCCACAAAGGAAAGCAGTAGGTGATTCCTTCAAGAAACTAAAACTGCATATTTTATGACATATGATCCAGCAATCTTACTTCTGGGTATATATATCCAAAGGAAACAACATCAGTCTTGTAGAGATAACCGTGCTCCAATTTTTAATGCAGAATTATTGACAATAGTCAAGATATGGAAACAACCTAAATGTCCATCAACAACAGATACGTTGATAAGGAAAATGTGGTATATATAAGTGTATGTATATACATACAATGGAATATTATTCAGTATTTTAAAAAGTAGGAAATCTTGTCATTTTTGACAACATGGATAAACCTGGAGGGCATTATGCTAAGTGAAATAAGCCAGAAAGATATACAAATTGCATGGTATCACTTATGTGGGTCCCCACCCCCAATAAAATTAATTGAATTCATAAATACAGAGTAGAATAGTATTTGCCCAGGGTTAAAGGGGTGGGAGGGAATAAGGAGAGGTTGGTAGAAGTTTTTAAACTTTCAGTTACAAGATGAGTAAGGTTTGAGGATCTAATGTGTAATATGATGACTGTAGTTGATAATACTGCATTATATAATTAAAATTTGCTAAGAAAATAGAATTTAAATGTTCTCGCCAAATGAACAAACATACAAAATGTAAGTATATGAGGTTATGAATGTGTTAAATTAATTTTATACAGGGAATCAGTTTACAATGTATACATATATCAAATCATCACATTGTACACTTTAAATGTATTACAATTTTATTTGTCAACTACATTTCAATAAAGCTGAAAAAAAAGGTAAAAGCTTTACTTTCTCCCTTGATCTAACATAATCCTATGGAAAATCTCAAGAGAAATTTTCTTTGAGTTATTTGTTTTTCAGTGTTTAAATGCTTATTAGCTGGGACAATATATAAAGATTTTCTTCACCCAAGAGTTACTTATTTATTGAGTTTGCAAATAACCTGATTGAAGGAAGTGCAGTGGATTAACTGGACAAAAGTTACACCATGTAACAAGAGTACATGTAAACTCCTAGAAGTTTACCTCCTTTGTTAAAATTGTAAGAGCAATACTCTGCTTTCTGATTATGTGGGATTAAAAAAAATAAGTATATGGATGCATACATCACTAGTTATTTAGTGCTACTTTTGTAAACTTTTAATTTTTTTACCTCATTTCCTAAAAGAGCATTTACGCAGGCTTCTGATGCATCACAGATGGCTGTCAGATCATGTCCTCCTTCTAGGGCCAATACCACGTGTCCATCAGCCAATGTCATCAATTGCTTCGTCAAATGACCAAAGCCTATCATAACACAAACAGAACATTTCAAAGTATTAAATCAAAAGAGAATACTACTAGAATCTAGTTGATTGAGCTTTTGTTCTGTGTGTGTCTTTTCTCAGCACCTTCCATGGGCTAATTCATTTAATACATACAATAACTTGGTAAATTAGGTACTATTATTATCTATATTTTACAAATGTGGGAACCAAAATCCAAGATCCAACAACTAAGCAGTATCACAATCAAAACTTACACCAATCACTATGATTTCTCATCAGTGTATACTAGTACCTTTCACAACATATTCTATATGTACTTGGATGAAAAACCTGAGTAGCATTTTGCAAGTGTTAATGAGGTCAATAATACATATATCAAATCAGATATATGTTTGACTTTGTTTCTTATCTCCATTATCTGTCTTACTTTATTATAAAAAGAGGTTTTTTACACATCCCTTCAAATTACTTATCACATCAGATTTTTATAGACATAATTTTGATTATGAAAATTAATAAATGTAAAAAAACAATATCTATACATTCTAAAGTTTAATGGTATGAGAAACACCTGTCAACTCACTCTCTTTCCAATTTAAGGAAAATAATGTTAGCAATACTTTTAAAGCCCCTTGTGTACTTCTATTAATATCTTTCCTCCACTCTGCAGGAAATTAGGATCCTGACTTTGTGTGATATTTCCTTTGCTTTATTTTGTTTAATTATTTTGAACTTTATAAAAGTGATTTTATATTATCACAACTTGCTTTTTGCATACAACATCTTGTTAGCTCATCTCTGTGGATAAAAGTAGCTATAGTTCTTTGCTGTCTAGTAGGCCATAGTATGAATATAAAAGAACTTGTTTACCCAATCTCTTGATGACAGATATTTGCATTTTTATTACCAAACCCCAGTGCTTTATTACAAACAATGCCTTCATGAATGTTTTTATAGTACTCTTTGGTTCACGTGTGCAACAGTGGAGTAAAATCATTGTGGCTTAAAATCTGCTAAATAATACCAGATTATTTCTAAAAGGCTACAACCAATCCATTCTGAGAAGTGGCATATATAAAAATTTCCATTTAGTCATGTCCTTACCAATGTTTGGTATAATTTACCAAGCGAGTGAATAATGGTTTTAATGGCTTTTTATTGTGACTTCCTTCAGTTTTAGGAGGGACCTTTCTTTTTTAATTCTTTTTAAATATTTTATTTATTTACTCATGAAAGACAGAGAGAGAGAGAGAGAGAGAGAGAGAGAGAGAGTGAGAGAGAGAGGGAGAGAGGCAGAGATACAGGCAGAGTGAGAAGCAGGCTCCATGCAGGGAGCCCGATGTGGGACTCCATCCTGGGTCTCCAGGATCACACCTTGGACTCAAGATGGCCCTAAACCGCTGAGCCACCCGGGCTGCCCAGGAGGGACCTTTTTATTTCTACTTTGAATTAAAGGTTTTTTTATAAATGGTTGTTAAATTTGTTTACACCAAAATGAGATTTTTTTCTCCTAAAATTTCATAGTGTTGTGTTACATTAATTAATGTTTCTAACATTAAGCCATCATTGAATTTATGGAGAAAAATAAGTTTGATTGTGATGTAATTATCTTTTTTGTACACAACTGGATTTGTTTTATTAGTGCTTTGTTTGGGATTTTTTTCACCTATGTACATGAATGCAGTTAATCTATAATTTTCCAGTCCTGTATTGACCATGTTGAATATTGATATGGTAAGAATCTCCTTTTTATGTTATATGATTCTAGAAAGTTGAGTAGAAATCTCCTCTACAACCATTTGAGCTTTGTGGTTTTTTTGAGGAAGATTTTCTTGTGTTTTTTTTTTTTTTTTTTTTTTTTTTGAAGAAGATTGAATGTCTTTAGCAACTATAGGACTACTCATGCTTTCTCTATCTTCATAAGTTATATTTTCTTAGAAATTTATTTAAGTGTTCAAATTTTTTGAAATACAGTTGTTTATTTATTATCTTATTTTAGAATTCCAATTAGATGTATGTGGTTATTGTTATTGTATTCTCAATGTCTCTTAAGGTTTATTTGATTTTTTGTCTCTTTCTGTCCTGAATTATATGTATTTTTATTTCAGATCTAATTTCTAGCCTTTCTTTGCATGTGTCTTATCTACTATTTAACATTTCTATTGGTATCTTCATTATAGTGATTATACTGTTCAATTCCAAATGCTCTATTTAGTTAGATTTCATAACTTCTTAGTTATTTTTATAGTTTCTTACTATTTGCTCATGTTTTTATTTCTTCCTTTTATTTATCAATAATTTACATTCTGTATCTGTTATTTGAAATCTTTATGACCTAATATTACTATTTGTTATTTCTGCTGAATCATCCTCATGATGTCTTAATTCTCCTCTGTTTTATTGTTATTATTATTATTATTATTGAGCTCATATACATTGGAACTTCCTATGTGAGAAGTTTTCGAAACTTAAACTGAATTTGAGATCTATTTTTGAAACCTGGGTTAAGTGTGATTTTATTTGCTTCTACAGGATGACTGTGATAGTACCATTTAAGATAAATTTTAAACTCTTAGGTTTCAGGGACTTTTTTTAATGTAGTTATTGTAAATGTGGACCTGAAAACCTGACTGCAATTCTCATGTAAAAAAATGAGGCTTTCCCCCATTTTCTTTTCAATATTTTGAGAATTCTTCTATTCATAGCCCTAGCTAAGATATATTTGTTGTTTTAATTCAGCAGTATTTCCTCTTCCATTCACCCTTTTCGTTAGAGTTGGCACTTTCTTATTCCTTTCTTTATGCTGGTCTCTAATCAAAACTTTTTCCATCATAGGCCCAAGGCTTTGACTCCCTTTTCCAGTATGCAGTAGTAATTAATGTTCAACCTTTATCCAGCTGGAGACTTTGGATAGCCAAGGGTAGCCAACAACTATAGGATTTGTTAATCTCCTTTGATCTTTTTGGAAGTCATTCATGAATTTTAAAAAGTAGTTTTGATACCTTTATGTAGAAGTGTTTCAGAATATATAGACTTTCATACTGCCAAATATAAATGTCTCTCATTCAACATTAAAAAAAAATTAACATTGCATTCAACTTGCCCAATTTCAAGGACAGTTGCAAAAAAAATAAGTGAAAGTAAATAATGTGTTCAATATGGCATTTCATTTTTTAATATGTTTAAGGAACTTACAAGGAATACATGTTTAATTTTAAATCAATTATATTTTTAATAATTAATAGCTTTTATTTTTTTAGAGCAGTTTGGGTTTAAAGAAAAACTGAGCAGAAAGTACAGAGAGTTTCCATTTACCTGTCATTTCCTCTATTACTAATATCTTATATTAGTGTGGTACATTTGCTACAGTTGATGAGCCAGTATTGATATATTATTGATAATAAAAGCCAATGTTTAGGATTTACTGTTTGTGTTGTATGGTTCTGTGGGTTTTTACGAATGCATAATGTCATGTACCTACCATTATAGTATCATATATTTTGTTTCACTGTCCTTTTTTTTAAGATTTTATTTATTTATTCATGAAAATACACAGAGAGGAGAGAGAGAGAGAGAGGCAGAGGGAGAAGCAGGCTCCACGCAGGGAGCCTGATATGGGGACTCGATACTGGGTCTCCAGGATCACGCCCTGGGCTGTAGGCGGTGCTAAACCGCTGAGCCACCCGGGCTGCCCATTGTTTCACTGTCCTAAAAATCCTATTCTCAACCTATTCATCCTTCCTCTCCACCCCTCCACACTTGCAAATCAATAACTTTTTTTGTTTTCATAGTTTTGTCATTCATTTTTCAACGTTTACATTAATTCAAATTTTTCTGCTTCTTGTATTATCCATTCTACAGTATAAAGGACATTATTTCATTTCCCCTCAATTGTGTGGTGCTTATAATACTTAGGGTATTTCTACATCCATAAGAATGTGAAAGAATAATCTTAAATATGGAAGTGCATGCCCTGCAAGACTGACTGGGCTACTTTCAAGGCTGATCTCTTCTTCTCCATAGCATTGTGGCTCTGCGAAAGGAATTCTCAAAATAAAGTTGATAGAACTAAATGAAAACCTATAAAGTTGTGAAACAATGAGATCTCAAAACTAAACTAAGTTGCTTCCATTTTGGAAAAATAGAATAATATATTCTTAGTCCTTGGAATGCACTGAGATATTCATCCAATAAACCATAACTGTCCAGAATTTCAGTATTGCTCTAGCACTTGAGGTTAGCCAGAAACAAGATTTTACTTCCTCACTACCTTGAAGTACTTCATTGTTGATTCTACCCACTTAGCTAATATTTTGATAGAAGTCAAAATAGTCATTTATAATTACTCTATATTTCTTTTTTTAAAAGATTTTATTTATTTATTCATGAGAGAACAGAGAGAGAGTCAGAGACACAGGCAGAGGGAGAAGCAGGCTCCATGCAGGGAGCCCGATATGGGACTCGATCCCGGGACTCCAGGATCATGCCATAGGCCGAAGGCATGTGCTAAATTGCTGAGCCACCCAGGGATTCCCCTAATTACTCTGTATTTCTAAATAGTTTACAAAAATTATCCTACAAAGATTTTTAAAAATAGATAAAAAGTGTTTTCAAGCACTATAATATTTCTTTTTATGAACCTCATGATGATATCAAATGGAGTTTTCCATGGGCCACTTAGAAATGAGGATGACCACACTAAACTCCCTACCTTCTTACATGATTACTATAAAAAGAATGCTAAGCTTTCAGAAGATGTGTATGGCAAAGTTTTGATCTCTAATGGTTAGAAATATTAAAAGTTAATAGCACATAGTAACTGTTCCATTACAGAAAATAAAAAAGCAAGAAATACTCATAATACTCAGAGGCAAATAGGCAAATATTTCTGCTAATCATATTGTTAAATATTCAGAAAAGTTTTTCTTATAACTCTAAACCAGGACTATAATGAGAACTTAAACATATAATAATAATAAATCAAGGCAGTATGCCATATCTTTCATAGTGAGGGTTCCT